TTAGGGCCGTGGTCGGGCTGGGTACCCTCCGCTTCCTCCGCTATGTCCTGGAGGACAGTGCGCCCTGGTCGGGTTGTGTCCCGAGTGCACAGCTGCTTCAGGCTCTCTGTCAGCTCCGAGTCGGTTGACACGTAGCCGGTGAGGGTGGCCTCCTCATGCTCCAGTTCGTCGTCGCTCGGGGGTTCGTACGACGCACAGACAGCCAGGTTGTCTTCCACTAGCTTATCCGTGTCATAGATGCGCAGTTGCACCTTATCGAACCCGTAGTTCACACGGTTTTGTTGGGCTGCGAGGGGTTCCATGCAGGCCTGGTTCAAGAGGATAACCACGTTCATTGTGACGCGCTCTGTTTTCTCCACCTTGACCACCTTCCAACCGTCTGTTGGAAGTTTCGGATTGAACCTGGTCAGCAGGCTGAGTATAGCCTTTGGTTCCGAGGGTTCCGACGACAGCCACACCCTCGTTCTTGGTCGAGACGGGATGTCTGCGGCCTCGCAAACTGCCAGCTTGGCCCCGGGGTAGACCTCGCCGACCTTGTTAATGGCAGTCTTGTAAAGTGCTGCCGACCTCTCGTCTTCACAGGCGATCAACTTAACGTTGCTCTGGTACCACCCTGCATCTGTGCAATCGGGTGGCGGACCTGGGTTCTCGTCCAGCACTTTTAAGGACACTGACGCAAGGGCCCGTCTAACCAGACCCTATTGGTTCCTTGGGATCCTTCCGCCTTCATCGCTCTGGTCGATGACTCCAATGATCTTCTGATCACCATGTGCCGCGGCCTCCTTGCTCGCTGGTTGAGCTGTCTCCATCGACCTTTCTCGCTATGGGATTACCGCCTTTGCCCAGGCTATGTCCTCTTGGATTTTTAGGTAATCCAATTTTTACGCTTGATCCTCTCGTATCGGGTTGGTGGCCAGCCGTTTGAGGATCCGAAAAGCTTTCTTGCGATCAAGAGGTCCTGCCTGGGTAGGTGGTACCCTCTTGAACTCCTTTGCCCTGGTACTGACCACGAGACCGGCTTTGGCGATCCCCTCAGGCTGGAGTAGCTGGTTAGCCACACCTACGCTGGTGGAAGGCTTGGGCTTGTCGTTGTGGTGAGCTGGGCTTAGCCGGCTGTGTTGTTCGCTGACCTTGGCAGAGGTCGACGTCACAGGGACTAGGGTAATCGGAGCCGTGATCTTGCTCTTCTTATCACCGTTGGTAACGACTTCCGACTTTTTGAGAGTGTCGGGCACTTTTTTGTTGTTGCTGCCTGTTTTTTTGTTGTTATTAGTTAAATTCTCTATGTTAGTTCCCACGAGCTGCGGAGAAGGGACAGGTCCACCCGGGCAGAGATCCGCTGTACCCGGGTAAGGCTGACTTAGAACAGGCGGTCGCCACTTGCCTGAGCTCACCGTTTGAGACTTATTTGTTATTTGTTATTTGATAACTCGGGCTGCCAGCCAGATTGACTCTCTGCACGGTTCGAATGACACCTTAGTCCAGCCAGGGGTGAGATGAGTTGTGTGGGTAGGGAAGAGGTAGGTACAAAGAGTGTGGGAAGGGGGTATGTGTGAGCTATTTGTCGGAGGCGGCAGCACAAGCGCGACGTCGGAGCTGCTACGGCGCAGATACCCGCTGACTGTCCGGGGCTACTTATTTACGCTTCGTGTTGGGGGCTTGGCGGTAGCCGGACCGTATCCAAATTCCACGCTTATTCGTAGCTACCCTGGAGAACCAGGGCGCTCGCTATCCGCAACCTGCGAACCTTTCGGTAGCCTTCAGCTACTAGCTCTTTGGCCGAATCTCTTATACTTAATCGTGTATGAAAGTAGATTGTGTGCGTCTTCTAGTTATTTTTTTAAGAATAAAAAACCGAAAAGTATGTACAATTTTCCGATATTGGTTTGGATTATCTGTACCATATAAAATTCAAATAAATTTTACTTTTAGTTCGTTGAAAAGTTCAATCTTTTAAGAGAGAAATGCAAAAACTGCATCCTTCCAACTATCCCAGGAAAGAAATTACAGATTTTTGGTTAAAAAAAAATTTCTGGCTCAGTGTGCATTGTAACAACTTTGTCAATGACATTACCAATGTCACTTGAAATTACTTATACCGAGCACAATCGCGCCCATCGGGCTGCGCAGGAGAACGCAAAACAAATTCTCCGGGATTAGTACTTCCCGAACATGTCAAAACTAGCTAGCGAAGTTGTCGCATGTTGCAAAGTCTGCAATAAAGCCAAGTATGATCGGCGCCCCAAAAGGCAGGACTTAGGAAGCACCCCAATTCCTTCACATGTAGGGGAAATGTTACACTTCGACGTTTTATCTACTGACAAAAAAATCTTCCTAACTTGCATTGATAAGTTCTCAAAATTCTCAAAATATCGTCTAGAGCAATAATAGATGTACGGGCCCCTATACTCCAATTGGTAAACTACCAAAACAATATATTGTGACAACAAGGCTTCCTTTAATTCCGATACAATTACGTCCTTGCTGAAAAACCAATACAGCATCGATGTAGTTAATGCCCCACCGCTACACAGTAGCTCCAACGGCTAAGTGGAGAGATTCCACAGTACCCTGGCGGAAATAGCCAGTCACGGAATGTAGGCCAGTAGAAGTTATCCAAGCCAGTAGCGACGAAGTCAAGATGGCAATTAAAACCAAGATTGACAAGGCGCAAAAGACCAACCTCGACAGAGTTAACCCTTCAAGACAGAACACAAGACAAAACTCTCACGCAAAGTACATCCCGGTACTGGACGGGAAGGTTCTAGTATGGGAACAAGACTCGACTAATTTGTCCGAGTTCTCCAGCAGAATTGACTCAACGGACAGAATGCTTGAGCTATTCCTACAGTCCAACATGGGGAAGTTACTGGAAGTCGACATCAACCACGCCCAGAACATGCTGGATGAATTAACCTTAAGGACGGGTTAGTTGACTCCGGCCACTTATTCCGAACACTTCTTGCCAGAAATAGAATACTCATTTCAGAACTATAAAATTGCATGCTCAATATCACTTTTGCAAAGAATATTATTATAAACCCAATCATTTTTAATCATAACGACCTAAAATCTATCTTTGACGAACAGCTCACGGAGGTCCCCATAGTTAGTCTTATGGGTGTATCTAAAATAAAAATTTTTCAATTTAACATGTTTATTCATGTTATAGTTGAGTATCCTAAGGTTAAGTCTTTTTGTAAGAAAGTCCTGCTCTTCCCTGTCGCACATTACCACAACATGCTACAACTGGAAGACAACATCGTAGCGAAATGCGCTGATGGCATCCTAGCAGTCTCCGATTGCGCGTCTATCGACCTGGCCACATTCTGCAAGAGGGCGCTTCACGACACCTGCGCCCGGCAACTGCATGCAGACGGTGCGGCCACCAGCCGTACGCGAACAAGCAATCTGGAACCCCTTACAATCGTGGACGATGGAGTAATAATCGTCAACGAAGAACAGACAAGGATTACTGTTGATGACGAGCCCACAGCAACTATAAAGTGGACCCACCTCATCACCTACGAGAGGAAGGCAATTATAAATGACTCCGTTTACCTAAACCTCAACTACTCTGTGAATAAGAGTCCGGGGATTGCAACTCCCCCTCTACTTAACATTACGGGACACGACCACATTCTGAGCTTAGAGATGACTTGTCGGCCGGAGGATCCCCGAGGATCCCCGAGGATTTGGTTCGCTATAGGAGTCGCACCGTGCGGCTTGGTTCTGCTTCAACAACACTGCAGTCGAAAACAAGCAGCATTCAAATTGCAGAAGAGTATCGACGAATTGGTCATCGCCGAGGACGGCGACAGACTTAAGGGGGGAGTAGTTAACAACCAGATCTTAGCGGAGGCTAAGCAGGCCAATCTTATATTTTATCCATTCCATCTTATATCTTTTTATTAACATAAATCTCATTCTTGTATTTTTTCATCTTAACATATTTTATATATAACATTTACATTTTTTATATTCACTAACGCATGACCACCCTAATATTGAACCATTCATACGGTGACCGAGAGCCGAGCCAGCAAAGTGCGCCGCCATGAGCCGTGATCGTACTTCTGCAATTTGTGCGTGTTCAGCGGTCTGCCGGGCATCCGGCCATGCATTTGTCTTTTTGTTAACTTTAGGTTATAGTTTCTCATTTGACATTGATTGAATAAAGAGCTTACGCTCCAATTGATTTAACTCCGGCAACCGCTGTAAACATTTTATTATTTCAAACTGTCTGAGTCTCTAGGCCAGCGGTTTATGAGGGACAGTCACCCTTTCATCCCAATCAACATAATTCAGCATTGGGAGATCTACGGCAAACCGGCCACCAACACCAACTGGACGACCGTTGTCCAGACACACCAATATAACGACAGCAGCGCGGGACCACCCAAGGCGGAAGACGTTTCTCATCGTTATATTAGACAACCGATAATTTATATGCAAAATAAAACAAAACGTATCCAAACATATATAAACAAATATCTGACCAAAGAGGGTTTTTTTAATTTAATTTATTGATAAGCAACATAAATCCCGGGTCTTGGTCAAAAATGCTTAACTTAAACTTAATGAATTTCGCTTTCGCTTGGAGGGTTTTGTCCTTGCTGCTGGAATTAATTGTTGCATTCTTCTTCTTCAAAGGTAATGTCAACATAAACTGTTATTTTCCTTTTTTGGGGTTTGCCTTCAATTTTTAACTTTTTGGTTCAAACAGCTTCTGCACGAACACACCAAAGTTACAATTTTTATTCTTTGCGTGACGGCTAACGGCGTTAGGCGAAAACGGGTATTTTTTCTGGTATTTCCTTTGCTCATCTGAGTACCGCGCTGAAAAACAGACCCGACGAAAAGCGTTAGCTACCTATTTGTCTCTCGCTCACTCCTATGATTAGCTCGCGGTTTTTGTCGATGTGAATACTAGGCTATAAGCGGAAACCTTTTCTGTGTGAATAGGTATTACATTAGTGGTATGACGAAAGCATCGGAAGTCGCCATGTATCGGATGATTTTATCGAAGTTTCTCCACCTCTAGGTGGAATAAATTAATAAGTACAAATCAGCAAATATGGCATATAACAATGGCGGAATGCCAGATCAACAATTTCTTTGGGATGTTTTTCAAAGGCAAGCATCAGATATGAAACGTTTAGAATTGGGTAATACTGAATTGCTTTCAGAGTGGACAAAGACAGAAGCGGTCATATATCTGCGGATGAGCTACAAGTGGCCCTTTCGAATGGTACCTGGTCTGCATTTAATCCCGAAACGATCCGTTTGATGATAGGAATGTTTGATCGCGAAAGTACTGGTAGCGTATCTTTCCAAGACTTCGGAGCGTTATGGAAATATGTGACGGATTGGCAAAATTGCTTTCGATCATTCGATCGTGACGGTTCGGGAAACATAGACAAAACTGAGCTGAAAACAGCACTCACCTCATTCGGATATCGTTTATCCGACCAATTAATTGAGGTTTTGCTTCGCAAGTTTGATCGCATTGGAAATGGTACAATTCTATTTGATGATTTTATTCAATGTTGTATTGTGCTATATGTAAGTATACTTTTAAATTATTACTCATTATTATTATTATGCAGTAGCTACTTGTAACTTTGACGCTAGATTGCATTGGATTTAAAACAAGCGGTGCCCCCTGACCTGACTCGCGAGTCTTCAGAATTCCTCGCTCTACTTACACCGCCACTGTAATGTTTACAGTGTAAACGCTTGTGTGATTCCAGCATTCCATCGTTCTAGCTGGCATTTTTATACACGTTACTCGTAGAGTAAAGGGGTATGCTATATTCGTCGGAAAGTATGTAACAGGCAGAAGGAAGCGTTCCCGACCCCATAAAGTATATATATTCTTGATCAGGATCACTAGCCGAGTCGATCTATCCATGTCCGTCTGTCCGTCCGTCCGGATGAACGCTGAGATCTCGGAAACTATGGGAGCTAGGCTATTGAGATTTGGCGTGCAGATTCCTGAGCTTCTTACGCAGCGCAAGTTTGTTTCAGTAGAGTGCCACGCCCACAAGCCGCCCAAAACTGTGGCTCTTACAGTTTTGATTCTAGAATAAAAATTTTAACTGAAATGTATTGTTCTCATCAATACCTATCGATTGACCCACGCCGTGGGCGATTGTCACGCAAACTTTAACGCCCACAAACCGTCCACAAACTTCAAAAAGTTTTTTATTATTTAAGGGTAAAAATACAAATAAACCATAGTTTCAATTCAATATTGAGTTTCGACAAGTATTTTTTAGCATTATTAATTTTACTTTACAAAACTGCTCGCAATCCGCCTAGCGCCCACAAGTATAAAGGAGTTCGTACGTTAATCCGACCTAACAGAAAGTATTGTTCGCAGGCGTAATATAGAGATGGGTCAAGTGTAGAGGAGGGTGGGGTAAGGGTCAGTTTGTGGCCCTAGCGATTAAATGGCTACCTTAAAATGCGCGCCGTTTTTAATGAAAGTACCTTAGAAAACTAGGGGGCGACACTAATGCATTGCTTAGACTCACTCTGTTGATAAAGTTATGAATTAGTTTCTGGCTATGTCAGATTTGATAAACTCAAATCAATACCTATCGATTGACCCACGCCGTGGGCGATTGCCACGCCCACAAACCGCCCACAAACTTCAAAAAATCGTAGATATGAACGCGTATATCTCAGAAACTATAGAAGATAGAGAATTGGGATTTCAGATTTTCCGTAGCCTTGTACGCAGTGCAAGTTTGTTACGCGAACATGCCACGCCCACTAACGCCCACAAACCGACCAAATCTGTGGTGCCCACAATTTTTATGCTAGATACAATTATTAACTAAAATGTATTAGTCTCGTCAATACCTATAGTTTGACTCCAAAAAAAGTTTGCCACGCCCACTCAAACGCCCATAACGCTTAAATCTGTCTGCAGCCCACATAACCATGTATTAGATCGCAGGTAGGTGGCGCATTTCAATCTCGCTTACTGCTTGCAGAAGGGACCATTTGGTCCCTTTAGCTGAGTAACGGGTATCTGATAGTCGACGTACTCGACTATAGCGTTCTCTCTTGTTTTTACACAAAACGACACACATGAAAATTTTCCAAGGCAAATGTGCTTACTAGGTGCAGCGCATTGTGGTGCCTTTTACATATGCTTAAATATGATACATTCGGGCTTATTTGTATGGGAATGTAAAAAACAAAGATGAAACCCGAAGGTGGCGTATGGTCTAAAAAATATGACTCCTTATACTTCAATATAAATATTATATCTCTTTTTGATTTAATTTAATTTTTATTTTATTATTTTGTACAGGTTCTTATATTGAAATTGTTTAAATTTAATAGTTTCTTTTCGTTTCTCAGAGTGGACTTCAGTCGAAGAAGATTTTCACAATTTCTTTTTTAATGCAGTAAATTTAAGAACCTTAAATCTATACTTAAATTTAAATTTAGCGATTCAGCTAGTAACTATTTGGATTCCTAAAAACGAAAATAAAAGAAATTATGAATTTGGAATCCTGTTGAATGTATTGCTTGGGAACCTAACTGATATTTCTTTTTTGAAAGCGTACAGCGACGTACTCGACTATAGCGTTCTCTCTTGTTTTTACACAAAACGACACACATGAAAATTTTCCAAGGCAAATGTGCTTACTAGGTGCAGCGCATTGTGGTGCCTTTTACATATGCTTAAATATGATACATTCGGGCTTATTTGTATGGGAATGTAAAAAACAAAGATGAAACCCGAAGGTGGCGTATGGTCTAAAAAATATGACTCCTTATACTTCAATATAAATATTATATCTCTTTTTGATTTAATTTAATTTTTATTTTATTATTTTGTACAGGTTCTTATATTGAAATTGTTTAAATTTAATAGTTTCTTTTCGTTTCTCAGAGTGGACTTCAGTCGAAGAAGATTTTCACAATTTCTTTTTTAATGCAGTAAATTTAAGAACCTTAAATCTATAATTAAATTTAAATTTAGCGATTTAGCTAGTAACTATTTGGATTCCTAAAAACGAAAATAAAAGAAATTATGAATTTGGAATCCTGTTGAATGTATTGCTTGGGAACCTAACTGATATTTCTTCTGGATACAGTTTACAGGCGCATTCTAAAAAATGTATTTGGTTCATATAGGTGCAATCCTGGGTACAGCTTACAGGCGCATTCTAAATAAATGCTTACAGAATGTAGTTCTTGGTGCATAAAGGTGCATCCTGGGTACAGCTTACAGGTGCATTCTAAATTAATGCGCACAATAACGCGTTTAGTTGGTTTAAATAGGCGCAAATTAAATATATGCACCTATGTGCATGCAACAGATACCTTCTCTTTTGTACCGCACCCGTGTAAATAGAATAAGAAGGTTTTTTTTTTAAAAGTGGGTCCTAGACCTTTTTTTCCGTAATGAGTTCCCGAGTACCCGTTTGGGCATGCATGTGGATGCGTTAAACATATTCATAAGGATCGCAATGCAATATTTGAATGAGCAAAGTATCAAATAAAAATGTAAATTGTCTAGAATAGGATTAACCCATCAATTATATTAAAAAATGTATTTTTATACCTCGTAGAGTAAAAGGGTGTACTAGATTCGTCGGAAATATGTATGTAACAGGTAGAAGGAAGCGTTTCCGACCCAATAAAGTTTGCACCATAAGTTTAATATAAAAAAAACTTTATTTAATTTAATTTTAAACTGGTTATAATCTTATTTTTATGTTGGAAGAACACCGACTTGCTATTCACAAATCTCAAACTGAACTCGCTTCTTTTCATAAACTTCTTCGACGGTCATACCTCGGTTTTGAGCTTTAAAGCTTTTTATGAGTGGACGTCGACTGTAGCGATTTCTCTTGTTTATTCTAAGATGTTTAAAATATAAATTTAAATTTTTTATCAAAACATAATATTTATATAGTATTTTGATGGTTAATCAATAATGAAGAAGCCACAAAATATTTTTCCAACAGTAGGAGTCGGCGTAGGGTCCCAAACTAATACTACTGGGTAGTATGGCAGGATTGCCACACCACGTTCATGCACTATCAATGCTAATATTTGTATTAAATCTTCCCTATCCATCACCGCAGATTTTTGAAATACAGAAAATGTTAAATAAATAATAAAAAGTTAAATCTACCAATATGTAGCTTCTAAGTAAAATGATGCTATAAAGCGTAGAAATTATTTACTTAGTTAGGTTTCATTTAAAAACATTTTTTTGAGTTAACACACTTAAGGTCATGATTGGTTATATTTATTTCCTAAGCACAACTATTTAGCATTTCAACACACTGCATTCACTGAGTTAACCTTTGAATTCTTGGGACTTGCAAGTTTTTCATATACTTTTTTTTATTTTTAAGGGTAAAAATACAAATAAACCATAGTTTCAATTCAATATTGAGTTTCGACAAGTATTTCTTAGCAATATTAATTTTACTTTACAAAACTGCTCGCAATCCGCCTAGCGCCCACAAGTATAAAGGAGTTCGTACGTTAATCCGACCTAACAGAAAGTATTGTTCGCAGGCGTAATATAGAGATGGGTCAAGTGTAGAGGAGGGTGGGGTAAGGGTCAGTTTGTGGCCCTAGCGACTAAATGGCTACCTTAAAATGCGCGCCGTTTTTAATGAAAGTACCTTAGAAAACTAGGGGGCGACACTAAAGCATTGCTTAGACTCACTCAGTTGATAAAGTTATGAATTAGTTTCTGGCTATGTCAGATTTGATAAACTATTTCCATTCTGGTCGAGACACTTTTTTGGACATTAATCGCTCGCGAGAATTTTGTAATATATTCTGAAGCGAAATTCCTTGTTTTAATTTAGTTTGTTAATTTCATTCTTGGAGATATTTCGAAACAACTGAAAAGACAACTTGTGGGGCAAGGATAGTTGAACGTTATATATTATAATACGAATTTTGTTGAAGTATATGTATAGTTGTTAATAATTTTTTTGTTGAGCTAGAGTCGTCGCCAAATAATGTTAAAGTCTACGACATTAAGTCGTTGGCATATCAGTCAATTTCTATTGTCCCTCCTGAACGCCGATATGAAGTTGTCAGGTGTTATAATTGTCAGGATATTGGACACACTAAAACATACTGTTTTTAGCCTCCCAAATTCGCTAAACGTGGTGTTCATGAATCTCGAAACCCTGTTTGCACCGCTAGGTCTCAGGGTTAATTTAAGTGCATTAACTGCTGATCCCACCAAAATGCTTTTTAGAAGCATTTCTGATCGTCCCAAATCTGGAACAACCAAAAAACAACCATCAATTAAATATGTATCTGTCCGTCTTCATGCTCAGAATGCTTGGGGCCGAGCTATACCCTCCCCGTCTTCTGGTCCTATCACTTTCACTTACTTGTGGCTCCTTCGTATAGTGCTGGCTTTGAAGTACTTATCTGCCGTATTGACCAGATAATGTCAATGATGATAAAAATGATTGCGCTTATGAACCGGCAGTTTGCCGTCTGATGCGTCATGCATACATGTATAATTTAGGAATTCGATTCTCATTTTAGAACGCCAGTGATCTCACTGACAAAAGACTCGAGTTTGAGCACTATTTTACCGCTAATTCAATTGAATTGATGCTAATAAACGAAACGCATTTCAACAGCCGCTTACATCTCAGAATTTTTGGATATGATTTATTGACGGCCAATCAAACTGTCAAACTGAACAGTAAATTGTCAAGCTTTTGCAATTACCTTAAGCACGGACTTAGGGACATCGTGATTTCAGCAAAT